GGTGACAGTATGTCATCATGGTCAGTTAGCAAGGGGTCCCAGAAGAGGCCTTGAGTACTGTGGATGACGTGTGGAATGATGGGGCTAATCAGGGATGGGATGGGACTAAACAACAACTCGGGGATATATGTCATCATAACTCACATTATATAATCACTCACTGTACTGCATGTGCATACAATACAAATTATTGCCAGCTGTATTATGTATTCGATCATTATTATTGTTTACTTTATTTTGATACACTATCATTAGTAAGATTTCTAAAATGTTTTTAAAAGAAGTCTGTCACCAAGGCTACATTTATTTGCTCAAAAATACAGTAAAAACAGTAGGGTCATTCCACGAAGTCGGTGTCTTTTCCACTTGGAAAATTTGAAAAATAAAATAAGTTTAATCAATATTTTTTAAATATCTATGGAATTAAGACACCTTAAAATGACAAGAAATTGTATTGTGCCATCTCAGGCTATGCAATTTATTATTTTATGACTATTTTTCTACGACACAAGCATTACTAGATACTATAGTTTAATTAGAACTCATATGCCATTGAATGATAGGCATTAGCTCAATAATATACCGAGGGTGACCTTTAAAATGTTAGAATTTTACACAGACAATCTTTAAAAACAGGGTCAAACCTAATCAATGTCATCCCTGTTACCCACATGTTTGACGATTTCAAACAAATTAGCTAATTGCTAGCTAATAGTCAAGTTCACAAAAGCACATATTGTACACTTTGAAAGGATTTTACTTGTAGATATTGATTATATTAAATGTAAGAAATAATTTTTAATTTACATTTTAAACATGGTAACAGGATGCATGATGCCCCCCCCCAGTCAAGCCTCATAAATAATCAAAAATAGAACATTATAGAGGAGTGAGAGAAACATGCTTATGTTTTAAGTGTAGGAATTCTGGTTGAGAGATGATGTAAACTCCTAGAAATGATGTCACTTGAATGTACATTATTTTACAAGGGTTTTTTGATGAGGGTACAGGGCTGACATGGATTCAGGGGACACCAATAAAATTATTTATATTTTATAGAAAAATGCATACACAATGAGACTTTATTTAGAACAATATGCAAATGTGATTTTTATATCATTTTGCAAATTAAAAATCCTGCTGAAAAAGAAAAATCATAGTGAGGGACAGGCCAAAAACCTTACCTTTACCAGCATAAATGCTATTTCAATTATTTAACATAATATTTAATTGACTTTTTTTGATGTAATATTGATGAAAGCATACATGGCATTGTTATGTTTTTAAATTGCACATTTATTTGTTGTTATATTAAATCTGTTTGACTATTTCTTAGGGATTCAAAAGGCACCTGTTTCGTGGACTGACCCAGTAATATTGTGAAATATTATTATGATTTGAATAAACTGTTTTAATATATTTTAAAATGTAATTTATTCCTTTGATGGCAAAGCTGAATTTTCAGCAGCATTTACTCCAGTTTTTAGTGTCACATGATCCTTCGGAATTCATTCTAAAATGCAGCTTTGGTGCTCAAAAAACGTATTATTATTAATGTTGAAAACAGCTGTGCTGCTTAAATTTTTTTGTGGAATTGTGATTCTTTGAGGAATAGAAAGTTCAAAAGAACAGATAAAAAAAAAATAGAAATCTTTTGTAACATCACAACTTTTTAGAGTATTAAAAATTTGATATTCATTCTGAGATTTTCTAAATATTACATTTAATAGTGGTATTAAATTATTAGTGTTTTAAATATTAACTTTAAGTGTTCGAAATTAATGGAAATTACAAATGCAACAATAGAGGAAATTAGCAAGCACATTTAGATACAATACAATACAATATCAGACAATATTGAATTTTGGCTGATAATCTGTAATATTGATTAATAACCGAAATGGTTATATATAGCTGATTTTATATATTGCTCTTATATAGCTGATGTATCATGCATCCCTAAAATTTGACATTGACATTGCCAGACCTCAGACCAACTCCATCTGGAAAAGTCCCAGTGCTCCCTATGGCTAGTCCCTCCCTGGGGCTAATGAAAGGCACAGAGAGGAACATATAGGCAGTCTGACAGCTGCACTGAACGAGACACAAGGGGTTTCATGACTGAGGGAAAGCTCCTTAATCATGAGACTTTTGCTGGAATGATTGTGTCTCCGTCCCTTTGCTCTGGACGTGTGCTGAATTCCAGCGATGCTTTAAGTAACAGCAGCGTTACTGCCACTCTGGCTCTGGCTGAGAGAAACAGAGCTTACGTGACCTGCAGGCATTACTCATATTCTATTTATCTGCTGAGTGCTTCAGGGATCAGCTGAGGTGCATCCTGCGGGAATTTGTTTGTTCCTGTGCTGGTTAATTTTTTGATTGTTGTTGTAATTGAAGGATCATTACAATTGAGGGATCATTGCTGATTATAATAATTTGTATGTTGTAGATGTGGCCTGATGGGTAAGTGAAATCTGGTTCAGGTCACTTCCAAAAACACACCTCTTATTCTCCCTGTAATTGTGTGTCACCTCTAACAAAGTCTCTTTAACACAAGGCCGTTCACTTAACGGCAACTCTCCCGGCAGATCATTTCTAGACAGCAGGCATTTCGAGTAGTGTACAGCTCCTATCTACTTAAATTGGGAAAAAACAATTCTCCAAAACTATTTGTCAAAAAAAGGCAATCAGCTCATTTAACGGAGAAGTGGGACTTCTATTCCTACTGCCGCTTGCTGATGTGTTTAAATTTTTTCCAATCTTTTTTTTTTTTTTTTTTGAATGAGCCATCTTCTCTTCTTTATATTGTTCCTGTACTTCTAATCTCTCTATATGTAAAAAGGTAATTGATGAAATATGATGAAAAAGCAGGCTATAATTAAGCAGCAACATAAAAATAAAGAGTGGTGTTGTTCAGTATATCATCAGAGCTGTGGTTCAGATGTGAAAACCATTGTGACTGTGATATTACTTTTATAAGCCTACAGCAATTCCATAAACAAGCAGTTAATATAAATTAACTTACATTTTACACACAGTTATTTGATCTAATTTGCTCCACTAATGAAAACAGCTCTACCACAGCAGAATTAATGAACAACACCAAGCAAATACACACTAGTGGGGTTCATTCTTGAATAAGGTCAAGGGTCAAGCGATTAGTCAACAGAAGAGACAGACGGCTGCACGTGAGTGTCCTGCGTAATACTTGTTTATAGATCTGCTGTTGGAATTATTACTTGCTGCTAGGAAGGAATATTTCGTTTTCTGCCTATTTCTACGTTATATTTTTGTTTGCGTTTGTATTTTTGATTGCACTGGTAATTATAATAATTGCCCTCGGCTAAGAAGGAGCGCGTGTAATTTAATTGCTCCCTTCCTGCGTTTAAGTGCGAACTGTAGTTTCGATTTGAGGAATTGCCCTGCTATAGACTATTGGCTGAGCGTCTGCTAAATGACTAAATGTAAATGTAAATGTAAATAAATCAGTGTTCTTTAATTAATCGTTTCAGTGAATGTTTCAGTGACTTGCTTATTACTTGTTTTGTTCCTGAGTGAATCATTGTTTTGGAATGAATCAGTTGGATAAATTATTCAGCCGTTCACTCATAATAAGAACTCGTCACCACCTACTGGCGTGTCAATGTAACTTGCAGAAAGAGTCAGTAAATATCTCCATCAAACAAGAGTGGCAGCCTAAATGTGAAGCTATACATACAAAGAAAAGCGTCAGTGTTGGAGTAAACATCAGCTCACTTGGAACACCGCTCTCGAAAATTTGAGAACTGAAACTAAAGGCCTAGGTCGTACAGAACTTGTCTTTGCGTTTCTGTTATAAAATTCCTCTGCATTGAATCTTGTGATTTTAAATGCATTGCTGTTAACACAGAGCATGTTTTTTTGTATTCCATTGCACTGTTTTTCTATTTAAACATGCTCTAGAATGGCACAGTTGACCATTGCACTCACATCTTTTGCAGCCTCTCACGCATGACGCAGGGCCTTAAAGGATCAGTTCACTTCCAGAATAAAAAAATCCTGATAATTTACTCACCACCATGTCATCCAGATGTTTATGTCTGTCTTTCTTCAGTCGAAAAGAAATTATGGTTTTTGAGGAAAAAATTCCAGGATTTTTCTCCATATAGTGGACTTCAATGGGAGCCAAGGGGTTGAAGGTCCAAATCGCAGTTTCAGTGCAGCTTCAAAGGGCTCTGCTCGATCCCAGCCAAGGACTAAGTGTCTTATCTAGCGAAACGATCTGTCATTTTCTAAAAAAATGTTTACATTTATATACTTTTTTAACCACAAATGCTCGTCTTGCACTAGCTCTGCAATGCATGTCCTTGACTTCACGCATTACGTAATCACATTGAAAAGTTCACGCGTGGTTAGTTCTTCATGTGTACTTCAGTTAAAAAGGTAGGGTAGGGTGAAAAACTCCATCTCATTTTCTCCTCCAACTTCAAAATCGTCCAACATTGACTTGCTTTGCATGTTCGCTTTGTAAACATTGGGTCGGTACTTCCGCCTACGTCACGCGTGACCTTTTCAACGTGACTACATAATGCATGAATTTGAGCTAGTGCAAGACGAGCATTTGTGGTTAAATCGTGTAGAAATTTTAATTTAAAATGACCGATTGTTTCGCTAGATAAGACCCTTATTCCTCAGCTGGGATCGTGCAGAGCCCTTTGAAGCTGCATTGAAACTGAAATTTGGACCTTCAACCTTTTGGCTCCCAGTGAAGTTTTCCTTAAAATCCTAAATTTCTTTTTAAGTGCATAAAGAAAGACATGAACATCTTGGATGACATGGGGGCGAGTAAATTATCAGGACATTTTTACTCTGGAAGTGAACTAATCTTTTAAAACAAACTAATTTTTGCGAGGAATGAAAAAACGCAAGTTCTCAAGACAGGTTTTTTAAACCTTATTTTAACTTAAGCGCTGCCATATGATTATGTGAGTGCTATACATTTTGAACTGTGTGTGTTTCAGCTGCAGGGCGGCCCTCGTGGCCGGGATGCCACTGTGTACCCTGTCAGTCGGCGGTGGATCCTGAGGGGCAGGAGCTGCCCACCCAGTGCAGGGGGCAGAGGAACAAGCACCCTGACCTCGACATGAATCTCTGCTGGAACGAGATCAAACGCAAATCCCACAACATCAGGTATATCACATCTTTTGTTCATCCTTCTATTATATCAGCCTTCTATTATGTTCAATGTCTTCTGGGGATTATTAACCTTGTCTCAGTAGCACCAGTTAGAGATCCACATATTGCAATTCTCCCAGTCTCAGAGGCGCTAATGAAACTGTTGATTGAGTTTGGGCTGTTTTGCATGCCATTTGTATGTATGTCCGTATGTAATGCAGTGTGCTATGTTTACATACTTAGCCTTTTAATTACAGCCTCGACCCCAACTTTTCTCTGGGGACAAATTTACCAGGTCGTGATTGGTTTAGACATCTTCCCTGCAGCACGGGGTAATAAGATCATCCCAGGATGGCCCGCAGTAGCAGTACTCTTGTCAGTATTCTGACATCATCCAACCCTGAAGGAAGACTACAGCCATACAACATCACATGTAATGGAAATGGATTGAATACTAAGTGGCTTCTACAAAAGACCCTCTGGGATTATATTGCACCAGCGTTGCGGTGACTGACTTTTTCAGCTGGCTGTGTTTTGACAGACAGATGCCTCTTCCATCTAATCGCCTGATTTTTCAGCTTTGGCATCTGTAAAATGCAATGGCAGTCATTTTAGTAGAATTAAATTATGTTTGAATTTTGTTTGGAAGCAAATAATCTATTTTATTTGGTAAATGAATGGATTATGGTCAAGGTTTTCGCTTGTCTCTGTGCTGTTTTGTTGACTGTAGAGCTGGCATTATTTGTTTTATGCCTAATGTTGAATCACTGTTTGATTTTTGTAGATTGCGTTTCAGAGCAACACAACATGAATAATTTACTTGAAATTTTAGCTGTTTTTTACTTTCTCAGGCACTGTGACAGGAAGAAATCAAACAGACTTGCTAGCGGGGCAGAACAGAGCTCGTCTTTGTCATTCTCATAAGAATATTTGGCTTCATTGGGGTCCACTCACACGGCAGTGAATGTGCTGTGACCGGGGGGCTATGTGGCTGAGGGGGTATATGGGTGGACCGAGGCATGCTGGGAATGTTTGATTGCAGACGTGCCTGGATGTTTCTCACCTCTCTGATGGCGCAGCTGTGAGTGGGTGCTGATGGTGTGACTCAAAACCCACATCCCTAAATCTGCTCAAAGCATCTCTTTGTCTGCGTAGACTAAATAATTAACACATCTGAACTGCCGCGACTGACTGCGTCATGCTGTATTTTGAAGTTAAAGCTAGTACTATTTGGTGATATCATTGCACTTACTGTACATTCATAGTTTTGTGAAGTATACGTGCAGAACTTGAAAGTAACAAAAAGAAGGCCATTCCAGTTCAGTTCTGTTCTTTTCCACGCTCAGTGCTAAACGGCAGGGGAGAGCATGTTGACCTTTCAGCCAGCCTCAAAGCCTCATCCAGTCTTTTCAACAGCAGGCAGAAAAAGGCTTGATTGAGCACTAACAGCATGCTAATTGCTGTCCTTTCTCTGAGTTTTAGGCTCGGAGATTAGAATGTTAAAAACCCTTTTGCTAATGGGTCTACTGTCATGTCAAACTTGACATGTAATAAATGTACTTTTTGCTTCGGAGTGCATCTATGAAAGGGAGAGGAAATTGAATATTCTGTCAAGGCTATTTGCTTGTTTTGGAAGTAAGATGTCCTTAAGTTTTCTTTAAATTATTAAAGGTAGATGTTTAAATGCGTGGGCAGCAGGAATCTTTTGTGCAAAAACCTGTGCTTACCCTCATGCTGTTCCAGGTCTGTATGACTTTATTTCTTCTGTGGAACATAAAAGAAGATATTTAGAAGAATGTTGGCAGTCAAGTTTTGATAACCATTGACTTTCTTCATATGAGACATATCTTAAAATGTTGTCTGTTTTCCACAAAAGAAAAGAAGGTTTTGAATGCCGTAAGGGTCAGAATGATAAGTAAAATACCTTTTTCATTAAATGTGTTGGAAATTATTACAGTACCTTGTGGTGGAGTCTTAGGTTGTTTAGGATAAGAAGGGAGATACATATTTTCTTTTTGCTTAGCTTCCCAGTGTTGCTTGTTATCACAATTTGTTGTGCTTTGGATGCTGATGTGCTGGTGACCTGACTAGACTTACCAGCAAGATTTTGTTTGGTCAGCAAGCTTCACCAGAATAATCCTGCTGATTCACCAGCCAGAAGGGATGTAAATTGTATTTTTTTTTGAATGCTTCCAATTCTGACCAACTTTTAATGATTCTGGTTCCATAATAGGGGTCGACCGATTATCGGCCTGGCCGATTATCGGCGCCGATATTAAGCATTTTTATGATTATCTGTATCGGTCATTTTCAAAACCGATTTGCCGATAAAATAACTTAATTTTGAAACGTGCTATTTGGCTCTGATGCAGCCTGACAGAACTCACCACTCTGTGGCCTAAAGCAGTCTCCGCCCACCGCTCATCTGATTTGTTGGGAGTCATGAGTCCGACCAATCAATGCGGAATTCACTCTCACTCCAAAAGCGCTTGCTAACTGGAGCTGCTTCAGTGATCACGCATCAGTTGTCTCTCAAAGGTAAGGCAAAGGTAAAAAGAAAATGCCCCTGTAAATCACTTCACCTCATGTTAGGAAGGCTAATTTTTAATCAGAATGTTTGATTATTGATCAGAAGGTTTGCCAAAAAATAAAGAGTTTAACTCTTTAAAATAAAGAGTTTACTGTGGGAGTACTACACTCAACCAACACCAGGGAAGGCAGTTTTTGTCAGAGCCCTTGTTATTCTTAATTTTGACATTAATTTTCATTTTTACACCAGACATATATATCGGTTCAAAATATCGGTTATCGGTCTACTTGATCTGTAATAATCGGTATCAGCATCAGCCTTGAAAAACACATATCGGTCGACCCCTATTCCATAAAGATTTTATTAGTATTTCTTTTAAAACTTTTGAGGAAGAAATATTTCTTATTACATTCATACAGCAGTCTGGTACCAAATGATGACATAATTTCAATAGATATGACAAGTAAGGAATACTTTTAAAACTATTCTTCCAAAAGTGCATTTACAAACTTTTTAAAGGCTGCATAAATGTAATTAAATATTTGTATATTAAATAAAAATAAAAATTCTAAGCGAATAGAAAAGTGGAATAATTTCATTCATTCATTTAATAAAAACAACAAAATTCATAACTGTCTTTTTTAACTATACATTGTGATATGAATTTTTGATTTACTGAAAAGATCTGAAATGACAAGAGTCCTTTGTATGTGAATCTGACTAAACAGATCATTTTATGTTTCATTTGTGGATTCCTTAGCAGTGTTGTGATCAATAGCAGTACAGGAAAAGTGTTTTAGTGGGTTGTTTTGTCCACGTTGGCAGAAAATTGCATGTTCGAGAATGGTTAATGGAATTAAAAAAAAATGGAACCAGTTCTCTGTTCCATCCCATATAAAACCAGCCTGGTCCAGCACAGAAATTGTTGCTGGTCTTTTCAGCAGGGTTATTTTGAACTCAGCCCATATTCTGACATAGTCTACTCATTATGAGGAACTTTCGAAATGTGTTGCAGCCATCAGTAAACACAGCCTTTTCTAACTTTGCTAAAAAGCACATATTTGTGTTTGTACCAGACAGTTGTTCAGTCCTCATATGGCTGTAGGAAGGAACCCACATCAGTTGCATCATGACATGGGACCAGAGATGTAGAGCAACAAAAAAGGACATTTTTGTGAGAGGTACGCTGTGATGTTTCGAGCTTCTTGCTAGGCTTTGCAAATAAACCCACTATTCAGACACCCTAATGAACGAACAAGTCAAAAGGGATTTCAAAGTGCATGAATTATTAACGACAAGTCTACCCGGCTGTGTTTGTAGGGATTAAATAAAATAAAGCTTGTCTGGCGCGCTCATCTATCAGCGTGGGGCTGAGCGGATCGCTCTCTTTTGCTGGGTAGACACAATGCACTGCTGATACAGTTGCATTCTCTGCTCCAGCACTCTTTGAGGAAATAATAATCATGCATTGACATAAACAACCAACAGCATGGGGTGGGGTCCCTTAGAGAAATGAGAAATTGTAGTAAGGCTGAATCAAATTTTCACTGGGAGATGCTGCCAGGCACTTAGGCGGCACTCATCATCCCTAACTTGGCACAAGTATCAGGGAAGCTAATGATACAGTTGGCCAAGGCTAGACCAGCAGACATAGTCTCAGGTTCCCTCAGTTAAGCTCTCTTTTACTCGTACAGTGAGGTAACTGACTTTCCTGACAAACCTTGTTAAAGTCAAATATCTGCTTAGTCCCACCTGAGACCTGCCAATGATCTGGCCCTAAAACTTCTGTACACATGTCTCTCACAGATAATTTATGCTTTAAGCTGGGCTTTATTGGATGTGAGTGAATATATGAATACACGAGCGTCTATGCTGGATGCATATCTAAAGCTCTCTTGCAGGATATGTATTCCTTTTTGCATCTCAATGCTCACATGAAATATTCCAATGGCACATTCCAATGGAGTGTTTATGCATACACAATGATATATATGGAACCGGCTGATATTACAGGTGCGGTATTTGTATGCATGTGAGGGCCTGTGCAGCAGCCCATTGTGTTTGCTTAACTGTGTCTTATAAACAGAATGTAGGGTAATGAAAGAGGCGAGACTGGCAATGCTGAATTGTAAGGCTCATTTCTCCCATGGCACCATCACCTTTTTTAGCCAATGGCTTCATCGTGTCTGAGAATCAGTGCTCGCAGACAAATCTCCCACCTCTCTTTTTCATTCAGTGTTACATTTCAAGGCTTGTGTCGCTGAAAGGACAGGCCTCAAAGAGAATGGCGCCCAGAGCCTTAGGCAATGCTTCTGAAATGGAAACACAAATGAAAGAGAAAGGATATCACCAGACACCTCACTCTTATCTTTAGCATTTAGTTATTCGCTGATCCGTGAAGCAACCCCTCACTGATGGTTATCATGCAACATGACCAAAGAACTAATGAGTTTTATCTGTTCTTATTTTGCTTTAATCAGTAAGA